GGAAAGAGATGGAAGTACTAAAAGATGGAAAAGACGGGCTTGGAAGTTTAAAGAGGACAGTAAGAGATTGAAAACAGAATGGCTGAAAAAGAGCAGGAAGAAGCTGGGGAAACAAAGAAGGCACAGAGAGCGAAGACATGTGGATATGTTGGTGCAGAAAAATAGACTGTTGATGATTAGGAGAAAGAATAAGCTATATAGAAATGATAAGTGATGTATACCCTATGTATGATTAGAAGGAACAGCTGACCGTGAATGCACTTATTTTTGTATACTGTCTTCTATATTGTCTATGTTATTTTTATTTGTGAGATTTAAAGAAGAACAGGAGGGAATAATTAATTTAGAAATTGAACTAATGTGAAATGGGACACTGAGTGGACTTTCCTGAGGAGCGTTAATAAATTAATAATTAAAATAAATTATTGGGGGAAAAGAAGTTGGTAAACTGTGTAGAAAATTAGACTGTGGAAGCTTAGGTGGAAAATAATACATACAGGAAGACAGAATGATTGATTTATAGATGAGTAGATGTACTAATGAATTTGAAGGTATATAATGTTGTACATGTTTTTGTTTTGTATGTTAGTTTGTCATTGAGGTCCCTTAAGGTATGTTTTGATTGTATTAGAATAATAGGATGGAATATCTAACCCAGATAAAGATTTAATGAAATATTGGGTAACAATAGGACTTGCATGGGGATTACTAATGAATTAATAATAAAAATGAATTATTGGAGGGGATAATAAATTGGTAAATTAAGGATGTAAATTTTAAAGTATGTGATAAAAACCAAAGGGGTAATGTTTATCTAATTATGTATTTATGTATAGATGCATAGTGGTATAAGAAAGCTTTGCAGTGAGAAGAGCATGTTTAATCCTGATAAAATAGCTTATTACATTGATGGTTGATGAGGAATAATCTGGGGACAAATAAGGAAAGGTGAGGAGTTGAAGGTGATTAGTGTAGCTATAAAGAAGATGCGCGTTTAAGATCAGAGTAAACCTAGCAGTTAAAACTATGATAAAACTTCAGAAGAAAAGTTTAATTAATATATAGGAGATGAAGAAATCAAAGATATAAAAAGAAAATAATGGGAAACAAATAAATATGATATTAAACCCTGTTTTCATACTTGAAATAAGAATTAATAGACTACTAAAGGTTAGAGGAAAGTTGGTAACATATAAGAGGAAGAAGTCAAACAGGATGTTAAACATGCTGTCTATTGCCAATAGGAATGTGTAGGTTAATTGAGGCAGTATATCAATCTCAAAGCCAGGTAAAAGAACAAGGAAAAGACTTATATCAGTGCTATTTTGGATGTTTGTTTGATGACTTTGTGTTGCTGGAAATGAAAAATGAATAGATAGAATTTGTATGTAGTCTTGATGAATGGTATGTGTATATGATACAGGCTTATATGATAAAATCCTAATAAATATATTTGCACATAAATGTCACTTTGTCGGCCCAGCTATGTGTGCCATAAAATGTAATGCCAGGTACCAAAGATATAAAATGTATAAAGGATAGCAGCTGGTAAGCGCCGAGTTGTTATATCCTCACTGCAAGACCCCATGGGCTGGGAGGGGGGTGCAAAGGAAAACCCACATGGGCAGACTGGAGAGCCAGCAGTGCAGCATTGGGTAGATGCCCCCATGCTGCTTGACTGCTGTAGACCAATTTGTTCCTCCATGCAGAAGCCACATTCGGAGTGGTTCCGCCCACTTCCCCCCAAGCAGTATCTTTTCCCTCCCTTGCACTAGTAGCTTGCAGGCCGCATAAGAGCCTTGGATGGGCAGGTTCTGGCCCCCGGGCCTTATGTTTGACACCGTGTTCTAGAAGTCTGAGAAAAGGTAGTGGCTGCCATAGGGTCTGGGGCCAAATGAAAACTATTGAGTGGTTCTAACCCAAGCATTTATGATGGAAGCATTTCTGAATGGGTGCTCCTTGTAGACACAAAGGTGATACTTCCTGGGCTCTTCTGAAATGTTTCCTGCACCAGGCAGGCCAGGGCAAATCAAGTCTGGTTCTCTGCTCTGAAGAAAAGATGCTTTAGGGATGAAGGAAGCAGGTAATGGCTGGTGCCATAGCACCCACAGGCACCATGTTGGGAATCACTGCTACTATGTGTACCTAACAAGCTCTGTGTCTCTGTGACAAATGGATCAGGAGAAATGAATTAATTTGTAGGAAATGGATGTGTGATGCCTCTCCCTAGGTGCAACTATGGGAACTGATGACCTTCCTGCGATTTCATATCACATGCCTACTATTAGGGTGCGGTCAAGTGGCAAGCTTACCACAATTTGTTCCCGCTGTAGATTTGATTGGGGGTATTTTTAGTGGGTTCAGATGGTCACACATCCCTTGCCTAACCACTCGCATTGCGCAATGAGGCTCCAGGCACCGTCCAGCTGTCCAGATAGGAGAACTTGTGGATTCACAGCGCAAGTAGTAGGAAAGTACTTGATTTTCCCAGTGTCGGAAAACTCGCTAGAAAACTGGGAGGATTACAGGGGTGAGTCCGCTTCGATACAGGAGACAGAATCGGCTGTCTGAAGAACCCTTTTAAATGTAATAGGGAACAGTTGTGAAAACTGATCAACATGACCATGTGACCACGACTTTAGACTTCTTCCTATTAACTGACCAACTGCTTGCAGAACATGAGGAGAACTCTCTTGGTTTGTAGGGCATCAACCCACCTTTGGGGAAGCTGATGTCCAAGGCAACGTCATAGGCCTCGGCAATGATTTGTATGTTTTCAATCTGGACAATCCCCAGGACGTTTTCTGCATCCGAAACCTGCAACATCAGCAGAACACCTTCACTTTGAGTGTCATCTGGCTGTCCAGCATTCTTCTTCCTACCAGTTCTCCTGACCCACCCCCACTTTCCAATACCTTCTGCACTCACAAATTCTTCTTGATATGCAGATAATGGCTGCACATAAACTCTACATGCTGACAGCCACTCATAACTGGTAGCTGGCAACCCTTTTCTACTTAAAGATGAAGATATCATTTCTTTATATAAAGTGCTGGGGTTATTTTTATCCGTTATGTTTCTTAATGTTGCTTTTGTTGTTGCATTTATTTTACATTTTAGATGCCCTAATGGCAGATGAGAATTAACAAATAAAGGAGATGGGACCCTATGGAGCAGGTTCACTGAAGCATTTCTAAAGGATCACATGGGGTGGGTGGGAATAGGGACTTCTCCTATAAGTGAGAAAGGAAATTAAAAATACAACCGTGTCTTGGAAATACAGAACTAGTCTACAGTCAACCAGACTTTATAGTCCAGCCAAAGGTAGCATTTTCTGCCATAGCTGCATTCATCAGGAACTGCTGGGGGGGGGGGGGCTGAGGCTCAGTGCTAAAGCATCTGCTTGGCACGTGGAAGTTCCCAGGTTCAACCCCCAGCATCTCCAGCTAACTGGATCAGGTGGCAGGTGATGTGAAAGACCTCCCCTTGAGGTGCTGGAGAGCTGCTGCCAGTCTGAAAAGACAATACTGACCACGATAGTCTAATGGTTGCATTCAGTATAAGGCAGCTTCATGTGTCCATGTGCACAACCTGAGCACTTTTCAACCCCTAGCTGGAGTGATGGAGAACTTCTTTTAAAAGCTGAACAGACTATCTGTTACTGCTTCTTCAGAAGCCAAAGATGCACAGAGGTGAAGAAAAGGCATTTCTTTGCCCTGCATAGTTTCATACTGAAAGTCACATGGGTAGGTTGCACCTTCAGGAGCCTGACTCAGTCAGCAGAGTTTAAAGTGCATACAAATGCTTTATAGATAAACTCATGGGATTCATAGGACTTACCACAGCCAGACTGCTCTCACTAGATATCTGATCTATAGAATATTCCCCAAGAACAGCCCAGAATTCCTTAGTATCTCTTTATAAGTCTTAAGTAGCTTTCTAAATCTTCCCAATGTTCTGCTTGAACCTGCAATTGGTAAGACTGGCCACTTAATCTATACTGACTGAGAAGTTCTCACCTCCAGACGAATGGCCTTCTTAATGTTGAGAACCTTGGAAGCCTTAAAGTACAAGTGCATACAGTACTCAGAGAAGGCCTCAACAATGCCCATATCATCTGACACACTGAAGTCCTCGCCAATGTTCTCCAGGCCACTGATCCGCCATGCTACAGGCAGTGGTGTGTTGTTCTTGAAGAAGAGAGACTTGCTTTCCTTCCTGAAGAAACAAGAAGAAGCCACAGCAGTTGTGATTTCTGGAGACCCAAGTCTGTGTGACTCATGCTTGTAATTTGCTATAGCAGCATTATTCTGCATTTCATGCTGGGCAGTCTACTGGTGTGTTCATATATCTGGGGATGTAGCCACTGGTGATAACACTTAAGAACCAGCTCCATGAAAAGGTCTTTCCAGATAACTACAGTGTAGAAGGAACCCCAGCTAAACTCCATCTCTGGATAATCTCTGGACCTGCAATGGTCAATGAAAATGGACCCTCAGTGCCCTCACTAAAAGATTCATATGACAACAATGGAGAGATAAATGCCCACTTCCAGTAAATCAATCAGTTGAGGACCTTAGAACTTAATCAATATCTGATCATCTGGCAAATGAGAATTAACAAATAAAGGAGATGGGACCCTATGGTGGACTTGTTTTTAGATATTTGGAAACCTTTTATAGAAATGTATGGTTGCAGTCACACGTGCCAGAAAAAATAGTGGGGGGAGCGAGGCTATTTCCTCGAGAGGAATTTGACCCACAGTTGCACAATCACACCTCCCTTTGAAACTGCGGGTGCAGTCCATCGGTGTGTGATCAGATGCAACTGTGGGTGAGTCGGGGGGGGGTTGTGCTTCTCCCCCCCCCCCATGCGCTTAAACGAGGGATTGATTAATTGCACCTCTGCACCGAGGGCTCCCTATGGAGTTTGCAATGATGCACATACTGCGAGGGGGGGGGGAACGGCACAAAGTTGGGATGACCTGATCAGACAATCCCGACGCCATGAGAGCGCACTGGAGCGATTAGACATGGGAAAGTCCGTCCGTGGCCCACTGCAACCCGTTTACTACCGGATTTTCCCTGGTGTCTTTTCACTCCGCTTCTGCGGCGGAGCAGAACGGGTTGCCGATGGCTACGGGGCGCTTCCCAGATGTTGTCTGATTGCACCCTTTAAATCCGCCCAGCATTCACACCTATGTTGGGTCTAATTGTACGTATGATCGCAGTCTATGTCTCATCTGTTGTACGAAATAGATCTTTGGGGTTGGAAGGAGCAAATATATTATGTGTAGGTCTGCCACAATTGTTGTTATATTTTTTCTCTACTTTATATATACCTTTTTATTTCATTTTAGTTTGCTTAGTTACTGGATTTTGAGTTATCTCCCTTCTTGTTCTTTTTTCTATTTTTAACAAAGAATTAAAAAATAATGAACCAATGCAAGCAAAGCAAATGACGTTTTCCACAGAGACCTAACCTGTGTAACAGGAGCTTTTCAAAATGGAGTTGTTTGCGGTCCAACTCGAGCTCTGGGCGAACTCCTTGGCAGCAGATCCGGAAGGTTACAGGCTCTGGGTTTTCTTTAATGCAACAGACAATGTTATCTTCAAATATACCGCTGCCTGTTGGATAGGCCCATACCGTCAGTTTCTGAGGAATGAAAAGAAAATGCATTCAGATAGAAAATTCTTTAGACTGGAGTGTGCTTTAAAGAGATGGTGACCCCTTCCCTTTCCGCTATTACCTGTTGTTCGTTAGGCTTAAGTGTCATGGTGGGTGGGTCCAAGAGATAAGTGACTGCCTTGTAATCATGCTGGAAGCAGAAAGTTATTTCACAGTCCAAAGGAGATATGTTGAGGATGGTTATCTTTTCAAAGTGATTGGGGGATCGGTTTGACTTGTACCTGTAAGGATGAGGAGGCAGGTAAGGAACAGCCAAAGGGAAGTTTATAAATGTACTAGAAAATGGGGGGGGGGGCTGCACCTGCCTGCACACTGCAGCCAGAAATGTGCATCAGTGCTTGCAAAATGTAAGATGAACTAACTATAACATTCTGTATATCAAGCTGTGTTAGTCTGTCTATAGCAGTAGAAAAGAGCAAGAGTCCAGTAACACCTTAAAGACTAACAAAACTTGTGGCAGGGTATGAGCTTTCGTGAGTCACTGCTCATTTCTTCAGATACCTGGAGAAGTGACTCATGAAAGCTCATACCCTACCACAAATTCCATATGTATTTAAGACAGACAACCATGCTGAATCACAAGGGGAAGAGGCAGGCTTCCTGTCGGGCCTCTGGGAGGAATATCAGTTAGCCAACTTGTTGATAGGTTACCGCTTTACTGTCTCTGTGACATCAGAAAGATGACAGAAGACAGGAATAAAAGGAATGCAGTGGCTCGGAAGAACTCCCATTGTTCTTCCTTGTGGAGAAAAAGCTTTGTTTCCCCCTTGGTCTCCACCAACGCTACCTTTCAGTGGTCTCCTAATCACTTATGTTCTGCAAAAGGGGCAGCCGTAAGACTTTCTTTACATTTTGAGATGCTTTATTCACCAGAAGAAGCCAGAGCAAGCTGTTTCCCTGCTGCAGAACTGGCATGAGGGGGTCTGGAGGCACTTATAGTTGCTGTACCTGATCAGGCTTGAGTGAGGGGTTTGGCTGGCAAGAGGTGCATCATAGGAGGTGGCTCTCACCCCTGTAGACAGCAAGGCACTGGTGCTTTCAGAGGCTGCAGCCTCCATCTTTCTCCTTTTCACCAGGTCTCACATGCAAAACCCTTGTGGGAGAGGGCATTTAGCCTGGTTCTCAGCAGTAGCAGAGTGTTGAAGAACAGTTTGCCACAGTCACTGTACGCTTAAGCTCGTCCCTTCAACCTGGACAAAGGAGGGAAGGGAGGTGGTTGCTATGGTGGTTCCTGCTGTGTTTGGCAAAACCCGGTTGTACTGCTCTCCTTGTTCACTCTTGATTTTGGAACTGTTTAAATACCATTTTTATTTATTTTGTAGAGCTTGTCTCCCTATGCCTAAACATATCTGTCCCCTATACCTAAACAGAGGGATGACTGAGAGCTTTAGCGGATGTTCGGTCCTTCTGAGCAAAGTTGCTTTGCCTTATTCTCACAGTCTGGAGAGGTAGGAAAAACAGGTTGCTTACCTGTAACTGGTGATCTTCGAGTGGTCATCTGTGCATTCACACCTATGGGATTCAGTGTGCATGTGCTGGATCGATCGGCATTGTAGTAAGCTCTTAAAGGATTTTCGTGCTCAGACCTCGGGCATGCGCAGGAACCCCACCACGCATGCCCAGAGGGGTGGGCACAGACACCCCGCCAGTTCCTTCGAACCGCCGCGAATCAACCCCTACGAAAAGTGTAGAAGCTGACAGCAGTGGGAAAGGAGGGCGGGTGGTGTGAATGCACAGATGACCACTTGAAGATCACCAGTTACAGGTAAGCAACCTGTTATCTTCGACGTGGTCTCTGTGCTTCACACCCATGGGAGATTAGCAAGCAGTGGCCTACCTGGAGGAGGGTGCTGGCAGATCCTTACTGCATAGCCGAAGATAAGATGTGACGTCCCATGTTGGTACTAGAGTTTTTTTGGACGTCTAGGGTGTAGTGCCTTATGAATGTGTTAGGCATAGCCCACGTAGCAGTTCTGCAAATGTCCGGGCTATACACAGGCTAACCAAATCAGTGATGTGGGAACACTGTCGCAGGTTGATCTCCACTTGGTCAGAAATTACACATGGGAGAAGAAAAACACGTTGCTTACCTGTAACTGGTGATCTTCGAGTGGTCATCTTTGCATTCACACCCATGGGATTCAGCGCGCATGCGCTGGATCAATCAGCATTGTAGCAAGCTCTAACGGATTTTCGCGTCCAGACCTTGGGCATGCGCAGGAACCCCACCACGCATGCCCAGAGGGGAGGTCGCTGACATCCCGCCAGTTCTTTCGAACCGCCGCGAATCAACCCCTATGAAAAATGTAGAAGCTGACAGCAGCGGGGAAGGAGGGCGGGTGGTGTGAATGCACAGATGACCACTCGAAGATCATCAGTTACAGGTAAGCAACCTGTTTATCTTCGACGTGGTGTCTGTGCTTTCACACCCATGGGAGATTAGCGAGCAGTGGCCTACCTGGAGGAGGGTGCTGGCAGGTCATTACTGCGAAGCCGCGGATAAGATGTGACGTCCCATGTTGGCACTAGAGTTCTTTTGGACGTCTAGGGCGTAGTGCCTTATGAATGTGTTAGGCGTAGCCCACGTAGCGGCTCTGCAAATGTCTATTAGGGGAACTCCCTGAAGGAAGGCAGTTGAGGCTGTAACAGCTCGAGTTGAATGAGCCCTGATAGAGCCAGGCAATGGCTGCTTAGAGATAAGGTAGCAGAGGCGGATGAGACTCGCAATCCATCTTGATAGGCGCTGAGCCGTGATGTGAGTGCCCAGCCTTGCTGGCGCATAGGACACGAAAAGTTGAGAGTCACGTCTCGTTGGATGGGTTCTATTTACGTAGAACAGGAGCGCACGCTTCATGTCCAAGGTGTGTAATAGCCTCTCCTCTGGGGATGTCGGAGCCGGGAAGAAATCCGGGAGGAAGACCTCTGCCTGTAGGTGAAATTCTGACACTACCTTTAGCAGGAACGAGATGTCAGGTACGAGGCGGACACCGTTTGGCAAAAAAGACAAGGAGTGTCATGTCTGAAAGCCAGTATTTCTCCAACTTGCAGTGCTGAAGTGACAGCAACCAGAAAGGCCGTTTTCCATGACAGGAATTTTAGGTCGCAAGTTGCGATCGGTTCAAAAGGTTTCCTGGTGAGTTGGTGAAGGACCAGGAGAAGGTCCCAGGGGACGACAGGAGTTTTATGGGAGGGTAGAGGTGCAACAGTCCCTTCAAAAAACGTTTCGAAAGTGGATGCGAGAACAGTGTGCATCCCTCAACTTGAACATGGTAGGCCGAAAGTGCGGCCAAATAAACCCTTAATGAGGAATATGAAAGTCCTGAGTCAGCGAGAGACAGGAGGAAATTAAAAACTTTCTCGAGACCTGCAGAGGTGGCTCGAGGGACATCATCACCCAAGGAGGAACAGAATTTTTTCCACTTGTAATGATACGACTTGCGTGTAGTGGACTTTCTGGAGTTTAGCAAAACGTTCGCTACGCGGGTGGAAAAGCTGTTGATGCTACTCTCCAGGCTGTCAACTTCATTCGTGGCACGTCGTGGTATAGGAGAAGGGACTGAGGAACAGGAGGTCCTGTGTCTGAGGAAACTGGTGGTAGACCCCCGCTGACAGATCAAGGATGGTTGAAAACCATGGTTGCCTCGGCCACCACGGGGTTATGGAACACAGTCCGCTCTGTCGCTGATGATTTTGCATACCATTCAGAAGTAAGGGTAGTGGCAGAGAAATCCTCTGGACCACGGGTAAAGGAGACGGTCCCCTAGAGACTGTGGGTCCCTGCCACCTCGGCTGCAAAACACAGGACACTTTTTCTTCGCTCTGGTGGCAAAAACATCTACTTGGGGAACTCCCCACCTGCGGAAGAGTGGGAGAAGGTAAGTTGGGTTCGTTTCCCACTCGTGCAGACTGAGTCCTGCCCGACTCAGGTGGTCTGCCTGCACATTCATATGCCCCGGGATGTGTGTGGCAATTAAAAAGATGTTGTGGGCAATGCAGAAGTGCCATAGACAGAGGGCAAGGTCGCAGAGACGTTGGGAGACTGTGCCCCCTTGCCTGTTCACATAGCTGAGGGCAGTGGTATATTTTCCCTTGATCAGGGGCAGGAAACTGGTGATGGCGAATTGTATTGCCAGAAAATTTATGTGTCGACGTTGGTTTTGTGTGTCCGATTTGCCTCTGACACAAAGTTCCATCATGTGGATGCCCCAGCCTGAGAGGGAGGCGTCTGTAGTGAGGGTCATTTGGGGTGATGGAGGATGGAAGGGTGTTCCCTGGAATAGGTGGGAAGGGACAGTCCACCAAAGTATGGAGTCCCGTAGTTTGACAGGTGGGAATAGAAGGGTGGTGTGTGTGTCTCTTTCTGGATTGAAATTGTGAATGAACCAAAGTTGTAGGACACGCATTTTCAGCCTGGCGACGATCAAGACGGAGGTGGTAGCAGCCATCAGACCAAGGAGCCTCTGTATTTGGAAAGCCGTTACCGATGGTTGAGTACGCATGACAGCGGCAAGATCCATGATGTCCGCGGCCCTGTTTTGTGGCAAGTACGCTCTGCAAGCTGTGGAGTCCAGGAGTGGAGTCCAGGAGTGCACTGATATACTGTATTTTCTGGACCGGTCGAAATTGAGATTTGAGACTAGAGCGTCCCTGGAATTCGCCACCAAGAGCCAATCGTCGATGTACAGGTAGATGGAGATACCCTTGAGATGGAGGAAGGCAGCGACCACCACCATTGTCTTCATGAAGACTCTTGGTGCGCTTGAGAGGGCTATATATTGGTAATGGAATTGACCAATTGCGAAGCGTAGGTATTGGCGGTGGGAGGGGTGGATGGTGAGGTGGAAATATGCGTCTTGGAGGTCGAGAGTGGCCATCCAGACGTTCCTCTGGAGAAGTGGCAGAATCTGCTGCAGGGACACCATTCGGAAGCAGTGGTATTTGACAAAGGTGTTTAGCGCCCATAGGTCTAAGATTGGTTGAACGCCTCCATCCCGCTTTGGGACGGTGAAATAGTGGGAGTAGAATCCCTTGCCCCTTAGATGTTGCGGCACCTGCTCGATGGCTCCCTTCTGTAGAAGGACCGACACTTCTTCGAGGAGGGCCGAAGAAGGGGGTGTGTGGAGGTGAAGACGGGGGTAATGGGGTTCTGATGGAATTCTATGCGATAGCCCTGGGTTAGGATGGACAGTACCCATTCGTCTGTGGTGATGTGACGCCGAGTTTGGAGAAGGGGTTAGACGGGTTGGATGTGACTCGGAGGGAAGGAAGTAAAAAACCCTGCTTAGAGGACCTTTGCCTGCTTAGTGTGCGAAGACTGCTGTCCCAATCCAAACCTGGGTTTTTGAAAGATAGGCTTTTGGCCACCTGAAGACGTACATGGCCTCCATTGTCTGTCAGGAGATTGACAGTTCGGAGTGCGTTTTTGCCAGGGCCTAGACCAAGGATGAGGCCGATATTGCTGCCTCGTGGAGGATGAGACTCCTAGAGCACGAGAAGCTTTTATGCTCTTATTCATATCCTGGACTTTATACATATGGTCTAGGCGCCTTATTGACACTGGGGCTGATGAGGGTTTATCCCATGGCGTTTTCGCTGCCTGTAGAAGGACAGTGGACATGGGCAGTGCTATGGTAGTTGACGTATCAAGTTGTACAATATCGAAGATGGCGTCTGTAACCTGTGGTGGTTGTTGTACGACTGAGAGGCCAAGAGAATGGGCCACTCATTTGATGAGGTCTGCGTAAGAAGTGAGATTGTTGGATGGAGATATGGGCTGGTCATCTGCAACTGCCTGGTTAAGAGATTTGTGGTCAGGGGAGGTATGGACCTCTGAAGCCTCCATATCAGAATCCTCATCTACAGAATCCGTGGAGTCTGGATCTGGCACTTGAACCGGAGTGGCTTTAACTTGGCTGGTTATATTCTTTGGTGGTAGGACATGGGGACTGGGAGGACGGTATGGTTCCAATCTATGCTGCGAAGGATCTTCGTCCGGATGATTCGGAGGGCGAGAGAGAGATGCTGAGGGTCTGGACCTATGGGGTGAGACCTTGATCTGTGGGCAGAGTGGGCAGAGTAACGATCCCAATCAGAGTAGCCCGCCGGAGTCAACCACGGCATGGATGGTGGATAAGCCCCATAGAGATACCTCAGTTGGCGGTGATCCCATGACAGAGGCGGCGGTGGGAGGTTGAAGACTCGTGGAGATCGAATTCTGCAGCGGGAGCGTCCAGGAGACCGTGCAGTATCCTGTCTTTGTGCATGGTCCCTATAAACTCGCTCACCAATATCGACAGGCTCAGCAAACAGACGTGGAGGGTGATGCTGAGTACTCTTGGAGATCTGCCGATTCCGACCTGCATCGATATCGGCATGGGCCTCGGAAACCATTGATGTCGACGACGGAGAGCAATCGGCGCCGGGGAGGCGACTAAGGAGCTCAACATTCTTGATATTGGAGAAAGGACGCAGCTCTACCAGCATGACCCGATCGAGTTGGTGTATAGGAGAGTCTATGAGTTGGATGGTTGGTATCGGTGGAGCAGCATGGGCCTCCGATGCCGATACTACCACTGGAGCGGGGGGCACGGGGCATTACCCAGTGCAGTCGCCGCTATCTTTCCCGTCTTGGCCGTCTTTTGGGACTTAGAGGATCCCTTTTTGGTGCACTTGTGCTCCTTACTGGACTTCAGCTTCTTCTTCATAGGAGTGGAAGCGGAAGACTGTGCCTTCGATGCCGGAGGCTTCGACGTCGATTGGCCAATGTCGGAGGAGGGCCTCGATGCCGGAGCCGTCGATGTCAATGGTTTTTCCGAATCCATCGCTGAGGGAGGATGTAATGCTGACTCAAGAAGAAGAAGAAGAAGAGATTGGATTTATACCCCGCCCTTCACTACCCAATGGAGTCTCAGAGCGGCTTACAATCTCCTTTCCCTTCCCCTCCCCACAACAGACACCCTGTGAGGTGGGTGAGGCTGAGAGAGCTCTGACAGAAACTGCTCTTTTTCAAGGACAGCTGTGCCAGAGCTTGTGACTGACCCAAGGTCACATCAGCAGGTGCAAGTGGAGGAGTGGGGAATCAAACCCGGTACTCTCAGATTAGAGTCCGCACACTTAACCACTACACCAAACTGGCTCTCAAGTAGCGCTACTCTGAGATGTGCCACTCAGTTTTTTCTCGTTTAGTTAGAAAACCTGGCACAGTGCCGACAAGACTCTGGTCAGTGTGTCTCTCCGAAACAAAAAATGCAAAGGATATGGCGGTCAGGTGGAGTGAGTTTACTACCGCAACCCTTGCAACGGTTGAAAAATCCTCACTTCTTCTCCATAAAATAAGTAAAAAGGGAGAAGAAAACGGGGGGAGGGGGAGGCCCAAGTGAGGTAAACGAAAAAACCTCCCCCTTAACGAAAAGGAAAATCTTTTTTTTTTAATAAAGAATGAAGAAACAAAGATTGGAAGCAAAAAATAAAGAAAACTGAGGAAAAATCCGAAGAGCCTGTGAGGCAAAATTTGTACCGATCAGACCGACTAAAGCAAGGTGTTTCCAGCATGGCAGTAAGAAAGGAACTAGCGGGATGTCTGCGCCCACCCCCTCTGGGCATGCGTGGTGGGGTTCCTGTGCATGCCCGGGGTCTGGGCGCAAAAATCCATTAAATGCTTGCTACAATGCTGATCGATCCAGCGCATGCACACTGAATCCCATGGGTGTGAAGCACAGAGACCACATCAAAGATCTAACCCAAACAACAATGAACTTCTCACCACAAGGGGAGAAACGGCATCCAAAGTCTTTGCTTATCAGGACTGTGGAGCATACAAAGGAGATTTTGAGGGTCTTTCAAGGAAACACTTTAGGCCCTCTAAAACTCCATCTTAATATTACACAACAGTGTATAAACTTGTGGCTCCTCTATAGCAGGAACTCCTTCAGATGTGGTTTGCTCTGTGTTTGTTTTGTTCTTATATGTTGAATAAGGAGGCTGAGGTCCAGGGACTTACTTGTCTCTTGACTTCCCACAAAGCAAGGGGCCAAAGTGAAACACACCCAAACTCATGATGTACTTTTTGAAGACAATCTCATCAGGTTTGGAACTCTTCTTACGGTGGGAAAACACTATCCTGGGTTGGAGAAACAGAGTGGCATCAGGAGAGAAACAACAGGCAGAGTTCAATAAGAAAAAAAGGGCTCTGAAAGAAATAACACCCATATGTGAAGAAGATCTATGAAAGCTTCTGGTCAGAACTGTAACAGTCACTGGTCCTAGAGATTACGAATTATGGACAGAATTCCCATATTTTAACCTATATATTGCTATCTAGTCATATTTTACCCTACGTATGCCTAACCAGGACACATATTGCACTTCTACTATTACATTTTTAATGACTTTTGTCATAAGTTTAATTCCAAAAATCAGTGCTGGTGCTTCAAATTAATGGCAGAAACAAGCATAGAAGGGCACAATAATTATTAAATAGGGGTGTGCAATTTCTCTCTCTCAATACTTTCCAGTTTGGGTCTACTGGAGCCGGAAAAATGTCA